TTTGGGGGGAGGGGAGGGAGGGGGACAGCCAAAATCGCCAGTGAAGAACACATTAGGGGCGGGGGACAGCCAAAATCACCACAATAGGCAAAAACTTGAGACTAAGGACACTGGGAAAGCTGGGCCTCACATAAGGTTTTCAAAAACCAAGTCTGAATCGCTAAGCCGGTGACATGGGTTGGGCACCTCGCAAGCTGGTGCCCTTAGAGCAGCCAGAGAGAAGCCGGTGGAGCCCCCTCCCTCCATCGGGATAGCAGAATCCTCCACCAGATTCTTTCCCAGTCAGCTCCGCAGCTCCCCGGAGGCTAGTATAAGAGCAAGCCTGTCCTTTCATCTTCCCGGAAGTGCTAACGAATGCTTTGGTTTTGTTCTTTCCCCCTCTTTAAGACAAATGCATTCTCTTCTGCCCTCAGGAAGCTGCTCTCATGCCGAAAGCCAGCCGCCCTCCTTCCTGCTCTGCGGATCTCCAGCCTCTCTCTAAGGGACCCTGTCTTGTCAGGTGGCCTAAGGGCCTACCTTGCCTAGTTCAGACTCAGCTCAGGGCCTCTCCATACTGCTCATTGTTCTTGGAGCCCATGGCCCATTGCCCTGGGACCCAGCAACGTGTCTGAGGTTATCTCAACTCTGGAAGTCCTGGCAGGCACTACAAAACACAAGCACATTACATTTCCATGCCAATGTGTCCTGGGGAGGCTGCCAGGTTCGACAGAATTTAGGCAGACAGCACCCACAAAGGATCTTTAGAGACTGTGCAGCCAAACCCTGTTCACCTTAACTTTGAGTCAAAAATCTCTCACTGGCCTTGAACTCACCAAGGGAGCTACAGGAATCTGCCTGTGTCTGCCTCCCCAGAACCCGGCCTTTATCTAGGTGGGTGCTCATGGGGCAAGTACTTTAGCTCCCCAGCCCTGAAACAAAGCAAAGTGATGTGTGTAGACCCACATTGCCAGGGTAGTGGACTAAGGCTGGAAACAGTGTCCCTTCACTCTGCTGGCCCACTGTCCACACCATCGCTACCTAAGGCCTCCATTCCCCCTTCCCAATGCTGGCTCAGAGCCACCAGATGCCACTGACCAGAGGACAACACCAACTCTGCTTTACCCAGAGTCCACTGAAGGTAGAAAACAGGGCCCTCATGAAGCTGCAAGAGAAAGGTAGGCCCCTGGAAGACAGCTCTGTGCTCCAGAGTCACAGTGACCAGTGAGGACACATCACAGATGGTCCGATATGCCTGTAAGACCTAGGAGGTTGCTAAACTGTCAGAGGAGAAGAGTGAGGGGCCACCTGAGGACAGTTCTTGGGGACTCAAACCAGAGCAAGCATAACCCACCTTTCCTCACCCCACTTGAGTTATGGCCAGTGTGAGCACCAGGCCTCACCTTACTCAACCATCTCTAAGTGACGGTGGCTATAATCAGTTTGACAGCTAGAGACAAGCCCCCTGAGAGACAAGCCTCTGCATAAAGCCGGCGAGGGACTCTCACTGAGGTGGGAAGATGCCCCTTAACTGTAGGCAGCCCCCTGCCATGGGCTGGGGGCTTGAGTTGAAAACAGAAAGAAGACAAGCTGAACACCAGCACTCAGCACCCTCAGCTTCCTGAGTGAGTATGCGATGTGACCAGTCACTTCAAGCTCCCTCAGCCAGCCCTTCAGTCCCCCCCCAGAACGGACTGTACCCTCAAACTGTAAGCAAAAACAAAAACAAAAACAAAGCCCACCCTCCCTTAAATTACTGCTTGTCACGTGTTTGGCCCTAGCAACAAGAAAAGTCAGTAATGCTGGTGGCTATCTTGATGAGTTCCTTTCATTAGCTGTGATCTTCTCATGTTTAGCTGGTTCCAGATAAACAGATCTAGGTGTATTTTCAGCAGACATCTCTGGAGTGTTAACTGCCTTCCCACCACTGTGCAACACACTCTCCAGGCTTCTATTTCACTTGCAAAAATGGAGACTCTTTAGCCAATGAGCAGAACTTGTCCGCCCCTCCCCTCGGGCCCTGACAGCTGCCACTCTTCATCTCCACAGGAATTTAACTGCTCTAAGTTCTTCATGTAAGTAGAGTCAGACGGTATGTTCTTTCACATGCAGCTAATTTTCATTAACTGCATCTGGACCCAACTAAAACCCCAGCTGCTGGGCACTCCTGTGTGGCGAAGAACTTTCTCAAGCCTCGGGTCAGAGGATCTGTAGTTCTCGGCGGAAGGCTGGCACAGGTGCAGGGGACTAGAGTGTTTGGCTTGCCACCACCACCCCATCCCACTGCCAGCCAACACCGTCCACCAAACATCTCCTCTGTCCTCATGGTCTCATGCGCCAGATTGCTGTTTGGAAACCATTGGCAAAACCAGGCTGCACAGAACCCAGAAGTGTGTGATACCCACTTCAAGAGTTATGTTTTTTTTTTTTTAATTCTTTCCCTCTTCAAGGAAGGGGAGAGAGCTAAGGCTGTTGATGGAAAAACACACTTCCATGGATCAGCACTGGGTAGCCATGTGCACATCTGTTCTTAACAGGTTTCAGCTGAAAATATACCTAGATCTGTTTATATGGAACCAGCTAAACATGATAAGATTACAACTTGGAGGGTGACCATGCAGTGGGGGGGGTAGGGAGGGGGAGGAAAAACCCATCATCCACACTCAGTCAGGAGTGTATTCGCTCCTCACACTTGACCGCAGCCGCGTTGACCGGGCCGGGTTTGCTGTGAATTTGAAAAGCCAGAATGGCTCAAGATTGGTTACAGACAAACTCAAGATGTTCCCACAGCCTCTCCGCAGCACAGTCCCCCGTGTGAGCCTGAAAAGAGACTGCACCTGGAAAGTCACTTGAATCTGAGGAGTTCTGGCCCAGGAGAAAGGCAGCGTGCTAGCTACTCACATGGAGAGGACACGGCACACCTTAAGAAACGACTCAAAAAAAAAAAAAAATGGGGAAGAAAGATTTCCTTTGAGTCAAGGTTACAGCTAGCTCATAATTGACTTGCTCTGTTGGTTGTTGAGTCTGTGGCAAGAGCATCGCGTGGTAGTGGGAGCATGTGGCTGACACCTCTTGGCAGACGGGAGGGAGAGGTGGGAGCGGGGGGGAGAGAGGGGAGAGTTCCCTTCACTTCCCACTAACGGCATCAAAATTCTGTACCCATCAGAATCACACTCATGGAGTAGGTCAGAGCCCTCAATCACCCAATAACTTGTCAATCATTGGATCCACCAGCTGGACTTTGCCATGAGAGACGTCTCGGGAAGACATTTCACATCCAAACCATTACAGACACCAAAGTCGCCCAGAGGAAGGGCAGGCATGTGCCAAGGCCTCTTTCTGCTGGCTCTGTGCTCTCTCGGGGAGGGGTCTTTTGACCTTGACCCTACAGCTATGTTCTGAAGCCACACTGTCAGCTCCAGCACGGAGCTGAGCAAACTGGCTGGGGTGATTTCTTCCAGTCCTGGTACTCCAGGGGAAAGACTTTCCCT